CGTATCGCCCAGGCTTGGGGGCCAAGGACGGCTAAATGAGCAAACAATTTCTAAGCTGAGATTTAAAAGGGGCTGGGACAGGCCAGACAAAGAGGAGGGAGGAGGCCAGAGGCCAGTCCCCTTGGAGTTCACCTCAGCGTGGACTCTGAGCAGAGGCTGTGAGGAGCCAAGGGGAGAGAGGCCAGGCCCCCGGGGCCTTGTCAGCCCCTCCGAGGGCTTGGACGTGCCCCGGGTACCTGTGCCGCAGAAGAGTGTCTTCTACTTTTAAACCTCTTTATTTTTTACAGAAATAATACATTTCTACAACTTCCTTGTCCCAAATAGAGACCAGCAGGGAAAAAAGAAGAACCCGCAGTCCTGCCACGCAGAGCTAACACTGCGGTGTAGGTGCACATGTGCATCCGCCTGTGCATCCACGGGCAGCCCGTGCCGTGCGCCTCCGTGCTGGACGGCAGGGTGGCAATGAGCAAGGCCGCAGCCCTCGGGTCTCACAGATGCCCCACTGGGAGGATGTTTTGGAAAGGAGAGCTATGGGTATAGCAGACGCCATTGGGGACCAACCCATCGTCCATTCGAATCACCCCATCTCCTCGATAACACAACTGGTGGTGTCCAGTCACCTGCCCTTGTCCCTGGGGCCATAGGCCCTGAGGCAAGCTCTCCCGCAGTGTTCCCATGTCCACGCCTGGGTTGGCTTAGGCGCGCATAAACAATATTTTTGCTAGGCAGACATGACAAGCAGTGCTCTGGGGAGCCTCTCATTATCTGAGGTGATATTGCCTTATCATTTAAGTCACTTCCTGTGGGACTTCGTTTCTGGCATCAAAATGCAACCTAAGTGATATTAGGAACTACTGTTGAGAAGTTCCTTATCCTGGGCTCCTGAAGCTAAGTGACACCCTCCCATGGGGCACAGTCCAGAAGGTGTCACCCTGCCACCTCAATCTCACAGTGGCAGGAATGTCCTTCCCCTCATACCTGGGCCCTACCCCTGGCTGCCTCAGCACCGTGGTCCATCCATCTTGCCCTCTTCCTTCCCCTCGTTTCCTTCCTCCCTCCTGCTCTCCCTCCCTGCCTCCCTGCCTCCCACCCTCCCTCCTCTGTCTCTTTTGTTTCTCTATGCCCTGAAGCATAGTCTAGTCTCAGCCCCCCTTCCTGGCTGACCACAGTGCCATAACAGCCTGGGACCCCCACCCCACCCCACCCCCAAGCCTGAGGAGCCCAGGCACTGAAGCACCACCTCTGATCCAAGGCTAATGCCACTTTCCCACCCAGTGTGCTGTACCCTCAAGCCTCGCGATCTGACTCCTGGGCATTGGGTCTGGCTTTGATGACCTAGTCTCCACACTGTGGGTCAGTGCCAGTCTCGCCCCTAAGAGGGCAAGATAGGGCCTTGGCCAAGACCCTCATGTGTCGTCTTTCTCATCACCCATCCACACTCTGCCCACCCCCAGTACTTCCTGAAACTAACTTCTCTCACCCACCTGCCAACAGTCTTCTATTTGGCAAAGCCAATGAATACATTTCAATCTCTTAGCCACTGGAGAGCATTTCTTCTTTTTAGCGTATTTATTGGGCTATAATTCACATACCAAAAATTTTACCCATTTAATATGCATTTAGTAAAGAGTTGTGCCAACATCACCATAATCTAATTTTAAATATATGTTTATCGATTTCAGAGAGAGGAAGGGAGAGGGAGAGATAGAAACATCAATGATGAGAGAGAACCATTGATTGGCTGCCTCCTGCATTCCCCGCACTGGGAATCGAGCCTGAAACCTGGGCATGTGCCCTGACCAGGAATCAAACCGTGACTTTCGTTCATAGGTTGAGGCTCAACCACTGGGCCATGCTGGCTGGGCACCATAATCTAATTTTAGATACTTTCATCACCCAAAAGAAAAGCCTACATATCCCTTAACTGTCACTGCCACCTTATGCCAAACATCATTCGACCCCCAGCCCCTGGCAACCACTAACGTGCTGTCTCTATGGATTTGCTTACTCTGGACAGTTCATATAAATGAGAATCAAAGATATGGGGTCTTTAGTGACTGTCTTCTTTCACTTAGTACAGTGTTTTCAAGGTTCATCTGTGGTATGGTGTTTATCAGGACTTCATTTCTTTTTATTGCCAAGTAATATTACATTGTCTGGGCATGCCATCTTTAGTTTATCCACTCGTCCATTTATGGAAATTTCAGTGGTTTCTACTTCTTGGCTATTATGAAGAATGCCGCTATGAATATTCATGTACAAGTTTTTGTGTAGACATATGTTTCATCTTTCTTGGATACATACCTAGGAGTGAAATTGATGGATCATATGGTAACTCTATGTTTAACTTTGTGAGGACCTGCCAGACTGTTTTCCAAAGCGGCTGCACTATTTTACATTCTCACCAGCTGTGCATGAGGATTCCAATTTCTCCACATTCTCACCAACTAGTGATGTCTGTCTTTATTATGGCCATTCTAGTGGGGATAAAGTGGTACCTCATTGTGGCTTTGACTTGCATTTCCCTAAAGATTAGTGAAGTTGGGCATCTTTCATGTGCTTATCAGCCACTTGTGTACCTTCTTTGGAAAATATCTACTCAGCTTCTTTGCCAAGTAAAAAAGAAGGAAATCCTGCCATTTGTGACATGGACAGACCTGAGAGCTAAGTGGAATAAGTCACACAAAGAAAGACAAAAACTGTATGACCTCACTTATGTGTGAAACCAAAAAAAAAAAAAAAAAAAAAAAAAAACAAAAAGATGCGAAGAAAAGTTGTCCGAGGTAGGAGTTGGGAGAAAAGCAAAATGGATGAAGGGATTCAAAAGGTACAAAATTCTAGTTATAAAATAAACAAGTCCTTGGATGTGATGTACAGGATGGTGACTCTAGTTAACAACCCCTCAGACCGTAATATGATATTAGACAAGCATTCTCTGAGGCCCAAGAGATGCCAGGCTCTGTGTTATCCACACCAGGCCCCTCCCAGGTCATTATGGATATTCCCACTTTATAGATGAGGAAACTGGCCCAGAGCACTTCAATAACTTGCCCAAAGTCACATAGCCAGTGAGGGACAGAGCTGGGATTGGGGCCCAGCCCGGACTCATGCCACTGCCCCTCCTCTTAGCCATCATGCTCTCTCGCCTGTCTTATGAATATCAATCAGTCTTCGGTCTGGAGACAGAAGGACACATTTTCTAGGTGGTTTTCTTTCTAACCTTCTAAATGACTCACAGCTAAACCAAAGGCAGAAACACACTGACCAGAGAACGTGTCTTATTGTGAACTACGCCATTGGACTTCTTGGGCTTTTATCACAGTATATGCATAATTGCTTTTTGGTAATTATATAAAGTTATAGGACAATTCCCGGTGAGAGGCAGTGTGTGTCTGGCTAACAGCAAAGATGAACTCCCCTGCCCGCGAATCCTGTCTCTAGCACCCTGGCTCTGCTGGGCACATCTGTCAGCCTCACGGTGACTCGTCTCCTCCCTCGCGTGATGGTGACGGAATCACAGGACCTACTGCCCTGGGGGGTCTGCGTTAAAGGGGCTGCGGCACAGAGAACAGCGCCTGGCACACAGAAAGACCATGGGAGGGCTCATGGGAAATTCACAATGGTCCATAAACTTCCTGGTGATAGCAATGAATTGCAAGTATGCCTCGTCGCTCTTCTCTCTTTGGGTTACCTCTTTTCAAGATTCCTAAAAGTCTCATCAGAACTTCTGGTGCTTGAGGTAAATCATTTCAAAACTGTTTGTTAACTAGTGACTGAGGTAGGAAAGCAAAGTACTTGCTGAAATATAACTAAAAAAAAATCTAACTTCAGTTCACAGCTTCCTGTGCTGCTCCTCTGTGACAGTTAGAAGGGAGGTAAGACTGTAGAGACAGTCAGGGGCTAGATCAGGGGTCCTCAAACTTTTTAAACAGGGGGCCAGTTCACTGTCCCTCAGACCGTTGGAGGGCCAGACTATAGTTTAAAAAAAAACTATGAACAAATTCCTATGCACACTGCACATATCTTATTTTGAAGTAAAAAAACAAAACGGGAACAAATACAATATTTGTATTTGCATGTGGCCCGCGGGCCGTAGTTTGAGGACCCCTGGGCTAGATCATCGAGGACTTTGGGTGACAATGTAAAGAGCCTCTATCCTGGGGGTTAGAGGAGACACTTGTCTGTTTAGGGCAGTGGTCGGCAAACTGCGGCTCGCGAGCCACATGCGGCTCTTTGGCCCCTTGAGTGTGGCTCTTCCACAAAATACCATGTGCGGGCGCACGTACAGTGCGATTGAAACTTCGTGGCCCATGTGCAGAAGTCAGTTTTCGGCCTGGGCGAGTCTGTTTTGAAGAAGTACTGTTGATATTTGGCTCTGTTGACTAATGAGTTTGCCGACCACTGAGATAGACGAAACAAGTGTGGATGGAAGAGTTGGAAGGGGTCAGAACTCATGGAGAGGTCTCTGGCTGCTTTTTGGGGACCTGGGCCCAAAGTTTCTGGGAAAGAAATAAGACCCTAGTGCAGTGGTTCCCAATGTGGGGCACATGCCCCACAGGGGCAATTTGACTTTTAATGGGGGCAATTCGAGAATGACTTATTAACAGTGAATTTTTTGCATTTCTATGGTTCTAGGGGCTTCATATACAGTATATAAATATATATTGTAACATATTTATGCATTTCAGTTCTCTATTATGTTTTGAAACTTTGCCATTTTTTCATATCACTTCATATTATTTTTTTTTAACAATTTCTTAGTGATTTCTTCCTCAGTACTTCAACTGTCCTTTTGTTCTTTTGTTTCTCTTTCATGGATGCCATGTTCTTTGGAAGCTTGTTTAGACCAAGTTAATGGCCTTTTAGGCTTCCTCCACGTGAATAGGAGTTCACTTTTTGGATAATAAGAAATATAAGTCACTGAGGGCTCATCATGGGGGGGGGGGGCGTCAGGATTTTAGCGATGCTTAGGTGGGGCGTGGCCAAAGCCAGGTTGGGAGCCACTGCCCTCTGCCTGTAGCTCAGCAGCTGGCGGATCTGGCGAGATAAACTGGATCCCAGCTCTTTATCACCTTGGCCCCCCCTCTGTTGACTGACAGCTTGTTACTGTGTCTTCATTCCTTGCCTCACACAGCCTCCGGAGCAGTGGTTCCCAACCTCAGCCAGCTCGGGAGTCCCAGGAGGGCTGGCGACAACTCAGATGCTGCCTCCGCCCAGAGCTGCTGCCCACGGAGCCGGCGAACACTTGCTTCTCTAAGGAATTCCCGGCATTTCTGAAGCTGCAGGTCCCAGGACGACACTTTCAGAGCCGCCCCTGGAGGAAGTGAGGTCCGCGCTGCAGAAAGGACCCCTTACAGGCGAAGGCGCACTTTGAGTCAATGAATGGGGGGATGAAAACGAGCCGGAGGACAGTGAATACAATGAAGGACAGAGGAAGGACACTCGCGTTCACCAGACCCCATCTTGGGCCCGGCACCGACCCGGTGGCGCCCCAGGGAGTCTGGGCTTGGTCCTTACCCGACCCAGCGGCCCACAGGCCCCGCCCCGCAGCCCTCCTCCGCGGCTTTTGTGACGTCACGACCCCAGGGGTCAGGAGAATGGTTGCTGTGGCAACGTAAACCGAAGGCCGGCGCGCTCTGAGCCTTGGAACCGCGGCGCGGAAGCTTCGGATCAAGCCGGGTGCGCGAGGCTGGTGGGTGCGCCCGGGGCTGTGATGGGGGGCACGCGGGGTCAGGGTGAGCTCTGGACCAAAGCGCAAGACCCCTTTTGCAAGGCTCCCCGCCCCTCCCTCCTTGTCGCCATACTCGCTTTTCAGTCACCTAGACATCCCTCTGTCCTAGGTCCCCGCCGAGCTGGGTGGGGAGACAGGTCCTACTCACCCGGGCCTCCCTGGATTCCTGTCCGGGAGAACCGAGCAGGACTGTGGCTGGAAGGGCGCAAGCTTCGGAGTCAAGGAATTTTGGACTGGAATCCCAGCTTCGGCCCTTCCTGGCTGTGGGACTTAGGACACCTCTCCGGATCTCCACTTTGTTTCTTCCTTTGCAAAATGAAAAGACATTCAATGTTAAGGACGTGCCAGGCGCTTTGATACAGCTCAGAAAAGACACCTGTTCTCATGGAGCTTAATCCTAAGGGCAATACGCTAATTTTTTTTTAAAGAGATAAACGACAGTGGGTAATTGCAGAGAAAATAAAGTGAGGTCACATGGGGGTGCGGGTAAAGAACCCACTTTAGATGGGGGATGAGGAAGGCTTCTCTGAAGGGGTGACCTTTGAGCTCAGATCTGAAGAGAGTGAGGGAGCTGGGTGTGGGAGGACAGTTTGGGCTGAGGAGGCAGCAAATGCAAAGACCTTGGGGCAGAGCATGGTTGGTGTGTTCTAGCGACAGATAGAAGCCAGTCAGAGAGGGGGGAGAGGATGGGGTGGGGGATGGGAAGAGAGGGAGCTGCATGTGTTGGCCCCATGGTGAGCCCTCAGTAAATGCCAGCTGTTCTCAGCCCCGGGGTGGAGGGAGGCTGTGGACCTGGAGACCATCTGGCTCAAGCTTCGTGTCATTCCCCAGGTTGGAACCTCCTCTAGCCGAGGTCCGGTTTTGCAGCAAGCCCTTGTCCTCTGCAGGGACGTCCAAGGTCCTGTCTACTATGGTCTCCAAGGTCATGGCGAACACCAGTAAGTACCCAGTACCCAGCTGGCATGGGCTCTCTCCGGGCCCAAAGGCAGCCTTGGGACCTGGGACAGTGAGGTCTAGACTTAATCCAGGGTTCAGGTGATGCTAAATCAAGCCGTGAGGCAGAAATCAGTTTGCCAGGTTCCTTAGAAACCCCATGTACCAGAGTCCTAAGGTTGCCAGGACAAAGTACCAAACAGACTGGTGACTTAAACAGCAGAGATTTATTGTCTCATGGCCTGGCCCTTGGGGTATACCTATCTCCCAGGCCCTCCCTTTCCCTTCATCATCCCAGCTCACCCTCCCCCACACTGGTCCCAGAGGACCAGCTCCCTGAGCTTTCCACCAAAGCACACCTCTACGCTCTCCAGCAGCCCCCACCCATCTGCCCTCCCAGGCTGGCATAGACTGGAATCTCCAAGCTACAAAAGATTCCCGAGTTGGGGTTGAAGGAAGCGTGGGGCCAAATGCCTCCTTCCCTGTGGGTATCCGTGGAAGAGAGAACAAGGAAATGGGGGTCTCTGAGGGCCCAGCCCTGATGGAAGAACCTGGTCAGCTCACAGCAAAAGCACTGGCAGGCCAGGAAGAAGACGCGTAGGGCCGTGACCTCCCTGTATAACCCCGTGCTGCTCTTCGGGGATAAACTGAAGGGTGTGCAAGGGAAGGCGCCTTCTGTGTGCCAGGCGCGTGTGCTAGGAACTTCTGTGGCCATTTTCTTGCACGAACCTTACAACTTCCCAGCAAAGTAAGCATGATTATCTCAGATATGGAAACTGAGGCTCAGAGAAGCTGAGTGGCTTGCCAAGCCCACTCAGCAGACAGGTGAGGATGCTGGGGCCGGAGCCCTAAAGTGTGCCGAGCCGGCACGGCCATGGGTGAGCCTGGGCAGGGGCGGTGAAGGATGGAGAAAAGACAGACAAGAAAGCTGGGCGCTAGGTGGGACGTGTCTCTCTGATGGAGAGACAGCGCCACAGCCTGCAAGGCGAGTCTTTATTTTATAGCCAGATTCCACGGGACAAAGTAAGGGCGTAGTCAAGATGATTACAATGTGGGTTTCAAATCTACTCAATTACATGCACCTGATCAAACTTTGTTTACTTGCTGCACCTCCCGCAGCCCATATCACTCAGCCACGTGGGACCACAGGTTCGGACCATAGGTTCAAGCTTACAACCCTAGCCCCTGGCTATAATTGTGCTGGGACTTGCACGTGGTTTTTCCACGAGAGGATCGTGCCCTCTCATTAGTCCCAGGCTTGAACCTGTCTGAATGCTGTAGCCACTTTCCACACTAAAGCATGTCTGCGTCTCTCCCCGGCCTCACGCTGTGTTCACAGCTATCACAAAATATGTCATTTTCTGTGGCCCTCACTTTTGTGTCTCCCCAGAGAACCACCTGGACTCCACAGACGAGAGCTCTCCTTCAGTCATTGAAGAAAAGAAAAAGAAACATAAGAAAAAAGGCAAAGGTACCTCTGGAGCCGGGAGCTGAAGTCCCAGGTGGTGGGGCACACTCTCTCCCTCAGCGGCAGGTGCCTTCAGACCTGGTCTTCGGTGTGAAGGCAGAGGCCATGCTTCTGTGTCCATGAGGAGACGGGTTGCTGAGACCTGAAATCATGGGAACATAAAGTAGGATGTGTTCCTCCAGGAATGGGGATGTGGGAAGCAGGCCACAGCTCCATAAGGCTCCACCAACAGCAGTTCTACAAAATCATCCAGGCGGCCACATCCTACGTCTTTCTCCCACTGTATCTGTAGGGCTTTCAACCGCAAGGTTGTCACATGGTCACACACTGGCTGCTGCAGATGCAGCCATCACATCTCATTCCAGACAGGGAGAAGGATTGAAGAGAAGGGCAGAACTGCCTGCCTGCCACTTCAGCCCTCCCTCCCTGGGAAAAGATCCTTCCCAGAATCTCCACCCAACAATTTCTGACTACTTTTTTTGGGGGGGGGGGCAGGGGGAGTCACAGGGCCATTAGGATCTGCAAGGGAGGCTGGGAGTATAGCTTTCAGCTAGGCGCATGGCTGCCATCTATTAGGAAGAAGAAGGGTAGGTAGCTAGCTGCATATGCCTCATCCTCTGAGCCCCTGCTCTGTCACTCCGCACCCTAGCTTCCAGGACTCCCTCCTGGTTTCTGTGCTGCCCCCACCCACCCCCAAGACTCCTGGGCTTACAGGCCTGCCTGTCTGATCTTCCCGCAGAGCTGTGCAGATGTGAGCATGTTCCCTGAACCTGTCCTTCACAGGCCAGCTCCCACCTCTCAGCCCACCCCACCCCCATTTCCTCTTTCTTTTAATTATTAAAATCCCACCCTAGCTGGTTTGGCTTAGTGGATAGAGTGTCTGTCTGCAGACTGCAGGGCCCAAGTTCGATTTCGGTCAAGGGCACATGCCCTGGTTGTGGGCGTCTGTCTGCAGACTGCAGGGTCCCAGGTTCGATTTCGGTCAAGGGCACATGCCCTGGTTGTGGGCTCGATCCCCAGCGGGTGGCGTGCAGGAGGCAGCCGAGCAGTGATTCTCCTCATTGATGTTTCTATCTCTCCCTCTCCCTTCCTCTCTGAAATCAATAAAAATATATCTTTTTAAAATAAAATCCCAACCTGCCCACAAGTAGAGACTAAAGCCCAGTGAACTCACATGAACTCACATGCCTATCACCAGATTGGGCAGTGGGCAAGATTTTGCCACTTTTGCTTCATCTATCCCTTTTCTCCTTTTCTTTTCAGTCTTTGACAAAATATAGGTGTCCCAGAAAAATGTATACACACACTTTGATTATAAAGGCAGTGTTTATTAAAATACATGTCATTTTCAAAATTGAGCTATCAGCTGTTAAAGTGTATGTACATTTTTGGGGGGGATACCTTGTATTTTAAAGTAAAATCCAGATGTGTCATTTCATCCCTATATACCTCAGTGTGCATTTTTCAAAAACAGGAACATTTTCTTACAAGCCCACAATGAAGTGAACCAGACCACCATCAGATTTACCCAATTATCTAAGAAATGTCTCCCTCCAGAAGACTTCTTTAATCGGGATTCAAATGAGATTGGAACATCTTCGGTCGCTTTTGATCTAGCACAGCCACTCCCCCACGACCTTACATTTTCTGTGCCTTGAGTTGTTGAAAAACTGGTGTTAATTATCCTGTAGAAGGTCCTTTATGATGACTCTGCTTCCTGGTGCTGTCGTTGTAATGACAGGAACATCTCTGTTCCCCATATTTCTTTTAATTGGACACTAGATGTTTGATAGGATGGATCCATGTCCCTCTGTGTCCACAGACTCCTTCCTAGGTGGGCTGTGTGCTTCCTACCCCGTTTCATTAGAAGCCCACACACCCAGCTGCCTCCCCGTTGGCCAAACTCCAATGGTAGGTGCAGTGTTAGCCACCTGACCCTCCATCACAGCTCCCCCTCAGCCATTCACCCAATAGTTTCTTCTGCTTATGGGTGCTTGTCCCCTCACGTAAGGGTGAGGGCCCTGGGTTTTGGATTTGTTTTGTTTCTTCACTGAGATATAATTAATATGCAGTGAAAAGAACAAATCTCTAGTATACAGTTTGATAATTTTTTTTAGTTTTATTGCTTTTTAGAGAGGAAGGAGGGAGAGAGAGATAGACATCAATGTGAGAGAGAAACATCGATTGGCTGTCTCCAGCATGGACCCCAATGGGACCCAAACCCACAACCTGGGTATATGCTCTGACTGGGAATGGGGAGAGAGAGATAGACATCAATGTGAGAGAGAAGCATCGATTGGCTGTCTCCAGCATGGACCCCAACTGGGAACCAAACCCACAACCTGGGTATATGCTCTGACTGGGAATCGAACCCGCCACCTTTTGGTGTACAGGAAGACGCTCCAATCAACTGGGCTGCACCAGCTAGGGCCAGTTTGTACATTTTGACAGATGAATACAACTTCTTACCCTCCACCCACTCACCATCTGGAACATTTCCATCTGCTCAGTTCTCTTTCCCCCAAAGGCAGCTGTCTGTCAGGGAATCTGCTATCCAGGAATCACTTTATTCGATCTCGGGCCTCACGTGTATGGAACCACTCAGTGCTCTTTTGATCGGGCTTTCTTTACTCGCCATCATGTCTGTGAGACACATGCTGCGGGCGTCCCTGCTCTGTTGCTCTGTGTATTCTGTGCGTGCAGACGCCAGCAATGATGATTCTCTCTAGAACTGAAGCACATTTGGGTGGTTTCTGTGGATTTTAGCCATTACAGATAATAGTACGATGCATTTGCAGTCAGATGAGTAGGGGATGTTTAGTATTCCTGTGAAGACAATCAGTGTGTTAATGTGAAGATGAGCCCACAACCAAGAATGGCAATCATTTGAAGCCAGTCATCCCAGAAATGCAATTAGTTTAACATTTATAAACCAATGTGGTACATACCCCATTAGAGAATGAGAGAGAATTCTATCATTTCAATAGATGCAGTATAAGCATTTGATAAAATTAAAAACATTTTGAATAAAAGTCTTAGCACTTAGGAATAGAGAGGTCTGATAAAGGGGCCTGAGGTGGACTGAGGAGGGACCCCCAGAGACGTCCGCATCTGAACCCCCAAGCCTGTGACTAGGTTCCCTTATATGGCAAAGGGGACTTTGCTGGGGTGATGAAGGGAAGGGTCTGGAGATGGGGAGAGGACCCGGGACTATCCAGATGGGGTGCTCAGTGTCATCCCAAGGGTCCTTCTAAGAGGGAAGCGGGTGGGGGGAAGAAGGAGAAGGTGTGACATGAGAAGCAGAGGTTGGGGTGCAGGCCCTGCTCCCTCCTCAGGAGCCAGGCTAAGGCTGGAGGCCCTTCTGACTCCCTCCCGTCAGTGGGCCAAGGAGCAGATAACCTTTATCCTTCCCATTCTGAGCGTAGCTCCATTTTCTCAACTCCGTGTTTTGAAAGGATTTAAATCTGACAGAAAAGTTGAAAGAATAGTGCAAAGATGCAGAATGCCCATGACTTTAGGCTTTTCCGACCCCTCCTCGGGATGGACTGCAGATGAAGCGTCCTGGGCAGGAATGCCTGAGCAACGCGCTGGGCTCCCTCTGGAGAGAGTGCCAGCTCCTCTCTCTCCTGCCAGTGCTCACTCTGGGCGCTTGCCGGCCAGGCTTCCCCACAGCACAGCCCCTTTTCTCTTGGGAATAGTGTCTTGTGCAGAGGTATTTTGGGACGAGCATAACTCTGAACCCCTTTAACAGTGCCCTCCTTTGCTGATGGGGGTGCAAAATGAGATAGACCTCCCTCCAGAGGCAGGTCAGCGTGTTTCCGAAGCCTGGAAACTGCCCACGGCCCTTGGCCTCTGGTCTTCCTTTGGAAAATCAGTTCCCAAGAGCTGGCCAGTGCGGGTAGTGATGTCCTCAGGATGTCGGGGTGCTATGAATTGTTACACATCCCAGGGCGAGTGCACCCTGATGGCACGGTGTGTCACTGCAGCCCTTAATGTTTGCTTACAAGGTCCACAAAGAATTAGTAACTTCACAGGGAACTGCTGATGGTAAAGTGTTCTTTTTAAAGGAATATATGGAATTATTAAAATTCTATGTTGAAAAGTACTAGAAGAAAACACCCTCAGAAATGTTACCAGCAGCTAATTCAAAGCGAAGTTGTTTTTTATTTTATCTCATTCTCTTTCACTTTCAAGAATGTTTTGTTTTGTTTCCAATGAACCCTGTTTCTTTTCTATCAAGGGTAGGGGGTGGGGGGAAGCAACCATATTAAGTCCTTTGTTTGGTGCCTTTTGGCTTCTGTCCTCCCTGACATGCTCTGAGCTGAGCTGTAGGAACCTCTCCCTAAGCCCTGGGGGTGGGGGTAGCAGAGTTGGGGTCCTTGGTAGTCCTCACCTCCCAAAATCTTACACTGCCTCTCCAGGCCTCAGCCACATTGCCCTTACCCACCCCCAAGCCCAGTCTTCCCCTGGGCGGGGCGGGGGCTGCGCTGGTGGAGACTCCTGCAAGGACAAAGCATATTCACCTAGAGTGCTCACTTCCCACTGACAGGCAGGCGCCTCAGCACTGGAGTCAGCAGGCTCTCGCTTCCCCCCTCCACACAGTAGGAGTTCCTGAGACTTTAAATGAGAGGACAGAGGGCCAGGGGCATAGCACATGTCTGAGACGGAGGGGCTGTGTTCATCAGGTCTCTTTCAGATGCCAGGAACAGAAGCCCAACTCCAACTGGGTTGAGTTTACGGAGCTGGAAGGTCCAGGAGTGGACTCCAGGCACAGCTGGGCCCAAGAGAACACTTGCCACTTGCTCATGCTTTCACAGAAGCTCCCTATACTGGGCTGGAAGGGTGCTGGGACCCAGAGGCACAGGCCTCAGCTTGGAAGAGCTGGCTCGTCTCTCCAATGAGTTATTTCCCTCCCCAGTGTCTGTGGTTGTTCCGGACCGTTCAGCTAATCCTTTCCATTTGTCTGGGAACGTGGATTTCTTCCTGCTCAGAGATCAGGAGCGGGATAAGTTTCACGCAGTGAGTATGCAGGACCAAGGCCTGCCCCAGCGCTTTCTTCCCTTACACAAGCAGCAGCAGCCAGATTTCCGAAGAGCACTTCCCCCGGTCACTCTCACTCTAGAATGGCTCACCATTTCCTACAAAATGAACTGGAAACTCCCCCTGGCTCTCAGGTCTCTGACCTGTCCCACGGTCACCCAGTTTCACCACCATTGTGCCTGGGCCTTTGTCAGGCTGGGCTCCTGGGAGCTGCTGTGGCCACAGCCTCTGCTACCACGCCTTTGCTTCTGCTGTCCCTTGCCAGAGATGCCATCCCCTTCTGAGGCTTTTCCTGTCCTTCAAGGCCCATCTCAGACCTCAGGGACCCTCTCACCTCCCCCAGGAAATCCCCCCCACAGCTGGCCCCACTGCTCTTGCCTTGCACAGTCCCCTGGTTGGAACTCTTAGAGGCCAGATATGTACACAGGCATGCACACATGTGCACATACACATTGCATGCCCCTTAGCAGTGCCTGGGAGTCCTGGGGCCAGGCCTGACCCCCAGGCTGTGCCTTGTCTCCACCCCAGCATAGTCTCTCTTGCTTCCCAATCCCAAGAGCCCATGTACCCAGACAGCTGCCCCCCCTGCCCCCCCTCCACCTACACCCACACACATCCACCCTGCCACGGCATGGCCAGCCAAAGCAAGCAAGCCTCATTGCAGCCAGGCGTGGGGAGAGCTCACCAGGTGCGCATCTTCCCTGGGAAGTGGCTTGTGCTGGCCATACTCTCATGGCCAGTGTCTCGGGCTCCCTCCTGGGCTGGCTCTGTCTACCCCACTTCAGGGCTCAGAGTCTGAGATTGCGTAGAGCTGTGGCTTCCACTGCAACTCCAACCGGTACTGACACCCCAGGCCTCGGGCCTAGAAACTGGGAGGGCCACCATCCATTGATGTTCCCCCGACTCGTGCCATGCTGTGCACCCACTCATGCCCTAGAAGGAAGCTCATGAGAAGCCACACTGAGCAGCTCCCACTTCCCTGAGGCCTCCAGAGTAGGGAGATATTGCAAACACACACCCAGACTTTCTCTGACCTTGACTTAGAGAGCTCACCAGTGCAGAATTCCATTTTCTTCTACCAGCTTGGCCCTGCTTCGGGGCTACCTCCATCTTCTTCCAAAAGCCCCTGCAACCTCACCCTCCACCCCACGCCCCAGCTGAGCTCCCCAATCTCACACTCCTCCCCACCCTGCCCCACGGAGCCCCCCAACCTCACCATGATCAAAAGCAGCTACCCATTAACTTCTAAACACAGGTCTTCAGCCACAGGGATTCTAGAGGGTGACATTTTCCCAATTTTATTGTTATACAGGGCTCACACTGGATCCTGCCACAGCTAGGTTTTCCCTAAGCAGCGTTCTTTAGAGGCTGGATTGGGTTTTGCACCTTTCAGGCCCAGTAGGAAATAGAAGTTCACATGAGGCCCATCTGACCCAGCCCACCCCATGAGGGATGTGGAGACCCCCGGGTCTGAACAGAAGAGTCAGGGCACCCCAGAAGCCAGAGATCTAAACGAGGCCTCTAGGAAGAAGAGACCCCAACCCCCCTCCCATCCTGGGATCCTCCGAAGTGAAAGGCTGGGGCCACAGGTCAGGGCAGGTGGAGAAGAGGTGGGGAGGCGCAGAACCCCAGTGACAGCATGGCCCCGACACTGGCCGACAAGGTTGCAGATCAAACTCAGGGTTTCAAGTTTCTTTTGGAAACTCAGATCTAATTTCCCTGGACCTTGGGATGTTGGATTTAGCAAATCACAATACAAGTTTAAGTGTGAGTTTCAGATACACCAAGAGTCATCTTTTAGTAAGTATGTCCCTGAACTACTGATCCAGAATGCACATCACTTGGCAGGCAGCCTGTGCTGATCTGGCTGCCCTCCTGCACCTGGCTCTCCAGAGGCCAGTCCTGCCCACTCCCTCTGAAACGGGGCAGTCGTGGGCAGAACCCCAGGGTGCTCCCACACACACACAGCTCCACCATCTTTCCTGCGCTTGGCACATGGGCACCCCCACCCGACCGACTAAGTGCGAACCACCTCAAGTCCATACGACCGTGGCATGGGACAATGCAGGAGGAGGCAACCGGGCCCAGGAGAGGGGGAAGGTTGTGTGGAGGCTGGCACTGGGAGGCCTCACCTGATTCGCCCGCCCCCCAGGAGCGGCAGAAGAAGAAGATGCTGCGGTTGCACCAGAAGATGACCTACTCATCCAAAGTGTTGGCCAAGCACACCAGCCTGCTGCATGAGCTGCAGCTGCAGGACCGGGCTGATGAACAGGACGCGCGTGCCCTGGCCGAGGCCCAGCAGATGAGCGCCTTCCAGGAGGACCACCCCTCCTGGAAGCTGGCCATGACCAAAGGTACTGCTCCTCTCTCCCCGACATCGGGTCTGTGCCTCCAGGCGAGGGTAGAGCTGCAGAGGAGGGGCTGCAGTGCAGTGGGGGCGTGGGGGGGGGAGTGCTTTCCCATCTGACCCCTGCCTCCCGAATCACAAAGACCAGGTCCAGGTGGAGTGCAAATCTAAAAGCCTCTGGACCCCAGTACTGCATGCACTCTGAGTGCTGATGAGGCACAACAAGTGCAGGTTGTATAAATATAGGCATTTAACATGGGGATAAAGAGTCGGTGTAGAACTGATTGCCTGGGTTCAGATCTCAATGGCTGCCCCGTCCTGGCCAAGTTAGCTAACTCCTTTCCTGAGTTTCCTCTCCTGGCTGATGACAGTAGCAACCTCATGGTTGGGGGGTTCAACCTCGTCAAACACAGCACATTGTGAGAAAGAACTGTGTGGGTGTGTGTGCGCGCATGTGTGTGCGCGCACATGGGCAGTTATTTTTGTAACCCAGTAGGAAATCTACAGTACTGAAAATGAATTAATATTCTACCAACCCAGGTGATAAAGTCTACTATCACTCGGCTAGAAAGTAGTAGTTGGGATCAGAGAGTTCGGGAACCCCCGGGGCTACAGGTGTACGGGATATGAATATACACGTAAGGAGACCCCAGTCTCCACCCTGACACCGTGGCTTGTTCTGTGGGGTAGGAACCCTGTGCTTGCTCCGACGACTGTGCGCCAAGCTCTGCATGGGGGGAGCAGCACGGCATGTGCTTGCTTTCTGCCTTCGCCCTCTATTCCTAAGCCCTAGGAGAGGCAGGTGGCGCCTGGATGGGGAAGCCTGGACCCAGGGTGTTTGGACAAAAGACTTGTCAGTGTCCAGCTTTGGCTTCCAGTGAGGAGCTGGGTCTCCTTGAGGGCAGGGACTCCCCCAGGGTGGACCAGGTGGCAGGGGCCTAGTGGGTTCGCTGCCAGGCATCTAGACCTAAAGCAGGACCCCTGCAGCACACCAGCTTTTGGAAAGGAGAGGACTGGAGGGAAAGACAGAGCCACGCGGTTCCACAGTCCTTCCCACAGTCTCTGCGCTCTCCAAAGCTGGGGAGTGTTTAGGTCTTCCTTTCCAGAAAGGCCCAGAAAAGAGCCCCCACGGCCTGTGGCCCCACCGTGCTGCCTCTCTGCTTGTCCTCTGGAAGGTCATCCAGGAGCCCACCCTAATGTCCCCCTACCTGGGGAAACCCTGGCAGTGCATACTTAGCTGCTGCCCAAATTGGGCCCTGGGGGCTTAGGGCACCCCCGGTTGAGATCATCCTGCCACATTTTTCTCTCAGGTCCTGGGCAATAGGCCTTCTGTTATGAAGTCCAGTCGGGTGAAACTTCCAGGGTAGCGGTGTCCAGAGTCTCATTCCAGGTGAGAGGAGCGCAACAGCAAGAGAGGCTCTTCCCACCTGGACCCGCTGCAGGCATGGAGGTGTGACCTATCAGCTGGGCCTTCTCCGCCTTTGCAGGAGACAGGGCTGGCTCTCCCACGCCCCCTGTGACAGCGCTGCATTGCACCAGGAGCAGCTGACCAGCCCCCCCTTCCTGTGCACCCATCCTCAGCCACACCTGAGTCTCTCTCCCACTGCCCACCCCCCAGATGCCTCCCTCCTCTCATTGCAGAAAAGAAAGAGGATTCTGACAGCATATACAAGTACATCAAACAGAAGCGGCAAATGTTCCTCCTCCAGGTAGGCCCGTCTGCTCCCTTGAAGGGGACCTGGGTGGGCTGTCTGGTGGGGAGTATAATCCCTGCTCTGGTGGCCATTAGTATGCCCTGGATATGAAGCGGAGCGAGATCCAGCGGCTGGAGATGCTGGCAACAAAGGAGGAGGCAGAGCTGGAGCGGGCTGAGAAGTCCCTGGAGAAGGATTCGACCCTGTTCGATGAGTTCCTCAGGGAGAATGACCGCAGCTCAGTGCAGGCCCTGAAAGAGTGAGCCTGTGGCCAGAGGGGCTGGTTGGCCATGCCCCCAGGGTCCCCTGGGCCTGTGCAAACCACCTGACCTAGCCTGCACCCAGCCTCAGCCCCCGCCTCCACCCCTGACCCAAACCAGGCTTCTGGGAACTCCCCCACCTCCAGCCAGGCCTGAGAGCGGTTTGGCCTCTTTAACAGTCTGAGATTGGCTCCCTGCCCCACCCTACCCTTCAGGGCAGAGAAGGAGACCAAAGTGAAGATAGAGAAGATCACTGAAATCCGAGATCTGACCACCCAGATCATGAATATCAAAAGGTAAGGTCAGAGGCTGCCCGGTGGGCGTGGCTCAGTGGTTGAGCATGGACCTATGAACCAGGAGATCACGAATCAATTGCAGCCAGGGCTCAATCAACCAATGATGCTCTCTCATCATTGATGTTTCTATTTCTCTCTCCCTCTCCCTTCCTCTCTGAAACCAGTAAATAAATAAATAAAAATATAAATATTTATTTATTTATTTATTTATTTATTTATACACTGAGTGGCCAGATTATTATGACCACCTGATGTTTGTAGGCAAATTAGCCGTACACTGCATCGTCTGGGATATGGAAGCCAAAGGCCTGTTCGAACACCTTTGCTGTCTGCAGTTACCAAGATAAAGCGTCTCCAATTCGCACAGGAACACAAGGATTGGACAGTGGAGCATTGGAAAAAAGTCATGTGGTCCAATGAATCATGTTTCAAGTTGCATCATGCAGATGGCAGAGTGAGAATTTGGCAGAAACAGCATGAAAGCATGCACCCCACATGCAGGAGTACAACCCTTCAAGCTGGTGGGGGCAGTGTTATGGTTTGGGACATGTGTTCCTGGAATGATTTGGGCCTTTTAATTTGTGTGGAACAGCGTCTGAAGAGCACATTGCTGATCAGGTTCATCCTATCATGTTGATGGTGTATCCCAATGGAGATGGCTTCTTCCAACAAGACAATGCGCCACGCCACAGTGTTCATATTGTGCAGGAGTGGTTTCAAGAACATGAGGGAGATGTTACCTAGCTTAGGTGGCCCCCACAATCACCAGATCTCAATCCAATTGAGCATTTGTGGGGCAAAGTTAGAAGAGCCATGAGGCAGCTGGTCCCACAACCATCAAATCTCACAGAACTGGACAGTGCTATTCATCAGGCATGGTGTCAGATTCCTTGAATCACCTTTCAACATCTCGTGGAGTCAATGCCAAGAAGAATCGCCGCAGTATTGAAGGCAAAAGGTGGGATATAGATATAGATATAGATATAGATATAGATATAGATATAGATATAGATATAGATATAGATATAGATATAGATATAGATATAGATATAGATATAGATATAGATATAGATATAGATATAGATATAGATATAGATATAGATATAGATATAGATATAGATATAGATATAGATATAGATATAGATATAGATATAGATATAGATATAGATATAGATATAGATATAGATATAGATATAGATATAGATATAGATATAGATATAGATATAGATATAGATATAGATATAGATATAGATATAGATATAGATATAGATATAGATATAGATATAGATATAGATATATTTTTATAGGTAAGGTCAGAGGCAAACTTGGCCTGGGCTAGCCTGCCCACATTTCCCTTCATCACTTCTCCCCTGGCCAAAGGGTGCTTCCCCACAACACAAAGCTCATCATTTTCACTGAGCTCTAAACGTCTCAGGGTTTCAAATCCCTACAGGCTGCTGCCCATCTTACAGATGAGGTGACTGAGGCCAGGAGAGGTTCACTGACTTTCCCAAGGCCACACCAGCAGGACATAGGGCTCACATGGGTCTGAGGATTCTGGGCTCCACCCTGGGAGGGGCAAGACAGTCCCTGAGGGCTGTCACTCTGGGAGGGATTGGCTCCTGCAAGGTGGCATCCTCTCCCTGGCACAACAGTGCTTCTGTGCCCACCCTTTTTGACCAGGGTGCATTGGGGTCCCCTCTGGAGGGGCTTCCCAGTGGGCAGAGCCTGACCTCGTTGTCCCCTCCCCCGGCTCAGCGAAATCTCCAGATTTGAAGACACTCTGCAACATTACAAGGTCTGCAAGAATTTCCTGTACAAGCTGTCGCCCAAGGACTGGTTGGAGGAACAAGAGAAGAAGCACTTGGCTATCAGACAGGCCAAGGAGGCCGCCAAGGCCAAGGAGAACGCTCAGTTGTCACAAGGTGACAAAGGTAGCTGAAAAGAAGATAGCTCCCTGGGTCCATCTGCACCCTGTGCCCACCAGCATAGGCCTTGGAAGTGTCCAGGCCGAGGGACTGGTCACTTCTACACCCTGCAGAGCTCCAGCTGGGGCAGTCGCCCCTTGACCATCCATGGCTCAGCACAAGCACCTGCTTGGGGAAATGGGGCTGGCTCTCAACTCAAACCCAAGGGGTTTTCTCCTATGCACCTGCCTCCTTCTGCCACTGAGGGGTCCCAGGGAACCCTGTGCCCCAAGCAATGTTGCCGCAGGCCTGGTTCCAGCCAAGGCCATCAGGGACCTCTCCCTTTCTTTCTATAGGACCGGGGACCAAGGGCAAGATGACCTCCAAAGGTATGTGGCTGCCCCGGCTGGAGGGGCCCCGCCCTGGGTTGGGGCAAATAGAAACTCCTCCTCTGCTTCCCCCAGAAGTGCAAAGCCCAAGGAAGCCCTGGAAAGTGCTGAAGGTGATCCAGGTAGGGCAGGTGCTGACCAGCTCCGCCCATCACGACCATCAGCCTGGGTCGGACTCCAAAAAGTGAGTGGGCTGGGGGAGCTGCAAAAGTGGCTGGAGCCTGGTGGGCGGTGCTCCCCAATGGCTCCCGCCAGGGGCACCCAGATTAAGCCCAGACCCTGAGCGGGGAGAGTAGGAGGAGGGTACATAGTCTGACTTAAGCTGGAAAATCAAGAGGTTTTCTAAAGAAAGGTTTGTTTCTGCCTGATTCAGTAAATGTACTATTAGTAAGCCTGGGGTGGCCCATTCGAGTGCTAATAGACTAGTCAAATGTGAACAGACGAGGGCAGCCAGATGGGCACAGGGAACAGGATGGCACATGCCCCCTGCGGGTCCTCTGTGGCCAGGGAGTGCTGGCCCAAGGGCCAGAGCTCCAGAGCTGTTCAAGAGAAGCCAGACATCTAGACTTCTTGATAAAATTACCCGGATTTCAGTGTGACAGTCTCTTTCAAATCTTTTAAGAAACACAGTGAGGTACCAACAGAAACCCCACTGTCGATCCATGTACCAGTGCAAACCTGATTCTCCACGCCTTTGCCTGCAAGGCCGAAGCTGTCCCCCACCCACCCCACCTGGTTCCTATGCTGACCTGCTGGGTCACCTAGTCACTCCTCCCTCCCGGAAACGCTCACAGGAATCACAACTCTAGCTAAACGGAGAAATCTCAACGCCCAGTTCCTGCGCACCTCCTGCCAGGCTGTTGGCCAGGAAGCCACAGGCAGCGCTGTGATGAGTTTTATTATTTCCTGCATGTCCTTTCAGCCGTGTTTAAGCAAATAGTGCATTGAACCATATGAAGTCGCTGTGCAGGTCAAAAGGGTACTGGCATGCCCTTATGATTCAACCTGCACATAAGCAAAGGCGATTTTCTTATGCCCAGCCTTCCTTTCACAAGGAGCTAACCCTCCCATCTCACCACTTCTCCATTAACAGCATTGCCAGGGGGCCCCCGTCGCCAGGGTTCCATTGTCCTGGTGTCTGCCGAGCCCCTGGCCTCTTGATACTGACTGGGGTGAACTTCACAAGATGTAACATGGAGCAGGGCACAAACACTGCATCCCAGGGCTGTCTGGCATTTGCCTTCATAGTGCCAGGGCCACCGCCAGGTCTCGCCTGTCCCATGAAGTCTGGACCACCTCGGGCCAGAGGGATGAGGGCCTGGAGAGTCATGTGGGGAGCCAGAGCAGGTGGCTGGTAGGCTTGGAGCCAGGGCAGAGGAGAGCTTGATTGGCCCATGCGATTGAGGGGCTGGTGAGTCCACAGCCTGCAGGCAGGCTGGCGGGCTGCAGACCCAAGGAGGCAGAGCTTCCACTTGAGTCCAAAGGCAGTAGGCTGGCAGCATCCCTTCTTTTTCAGAATACAGAAAATCAAAGACAGAGCTAAAGCAAGCGTGAGTGATAGCTCATGATTTCTGTGACATTTTCATGACGAAAAATACGATGGCCATTCGGATGTCCTCCTTTGTGAAAAGTGTTCAATCTTTGTACATTTTTATTGGATTGTCAGCCTTTTTTTTTCTGGTTTCCTATTAGCACTTTATATATCCTGGGTGCTAGTCCTTTACGTAATACGTGTAGTATAAGTATCTTTATCCAGTTTCGCTTGCCTTATTACTCTTAATGCTATCTTTTGAGTCCAGTTTACCAATCTTTACTTTTATGATTGGTGCATTTTGTGTCCTACTTAAGAAATCTTTGTGAACCCCAAAGTCACTAAAATAGTCTCCTGTGCTTTCTTCTGGAAGCTTCATAGTTTATCAGCTTGGATGAGGGTGGTGGTTGGGGAGATGGGGAGAATGGGTAGCCCTGGGGCTCAGGAGCCTCCCCCTCACTCTCCCTCTCTGAGTCTGTCTCTTCTGCTCATCCCTTTATGTGCTCTGTCCTCTGCCCTTCCTTCTCTACCACAGCCTGGCCACCCCCTCCCATGGTTCTTCTCCCAGTTTCTTGAGCTCCAGGCACCTATGGGTGTCTCCCATTAGATGTTCTCTACATTCAACCTCCCAAATACCAAACTGATACTTCTCAGGCTGAAGGGAAGCCAAGCACTACCAATTTGCAAGCTTACGTTCATCTTTATGAATCATGGTTTGTGCCTTATGGAGAGGAACCACTAGCCAGGCAAATGCCATGGGTAACTCTGAAGCCTGCGACCCCTGCTGGTGGGGGCTGGTATTCCGATTGAGTGTTGAATGGAGGCTCCAGGTTAGATATGCATGCTTCCTCTGCCTAAGTTGTCCCTCAGCCCTAGAACTCCCACTGTGAGGCCCCTCCCTAAGAACAGAGATCTGGGAGCACACTGTCCTGGTTAGGATCTGGGTTCCTCGGTCTATTGGTCATGTGACAGGTCTCTGCACATGACACTTAGCCAAGAGGTTGAGTGGGGCTTAAAGTCCAGTCCACACTTCAGGCTATGTCCATCTTGAGGGCAGATTCTCCAAAACGGCTTATGGGCCAACAGTGTCCTGCAGGTGACCTTGGGTAGGTGACTCGATATCTGAGTTGCATGTTCCTTAGTTGCCAAATGGGCATCAATGTGTATACAATAGGAGGCACAGGCCCAGTGAGTGTTTAGTAGCCTCTCCCACAGGGCCCTGCATTTATCACCTGTTGGCTGCAGGTAGGTCAGGGCCTGGAGTCTCTCTGGCTGTGAGCCTGCCCTGGCCCTTCTTTAGCCAGCAGAACCTGCAAATCCAGGGTGGGGGCCAAGGCTGGAGCAGGCACAGAGGGTGATAAAAGCAGGTCTGGATGTGGGGCAAGACTGGGTCCCACGCTGAGTGCTCCAAGCCCACACAGCCTTTTCTGCACCCCTGAGGGCTGGCCCAGGATGGTCTCACCCTGTGGGGTGCTCAGGGTCAATTGAAGGTGGCTGTGTCACAGGAGCACTATGAGGGCCATCAAGGACAACTGCCAAGGCCAAGTCTAGATAGAGGAGATGGGCAGAAAAGGCTCTGAAAGTGGCTTTTAAAAAAGGACGACAGCCGAAACCGGTTTGGCTCAGTGGATAGAGCGTCGGCCTGCGGACTGAAAGGTCCCAGGTTCGATTCCGGTCAAGGGCATGTATCTGGGTTGCGGGCACATCCCCAGTGGAAGATGTGCAGGAGGCAGCTGATCGATGTTTCTCATCGATGTTTCTGACTCTCTATCTCTCTCCCTTCCTCTCTGTAAAAAAATCAATAAAATATATTTAAAAAAAAAAAAAAAAAGGACGACAAATGGAGAGGGACAGCCCCAGTAGTGGGAACCGCGGGTGCGAAGGACCTGAGGCAGAGTCGGCACCTAGAGAGACAGGAAGGGAGCTGGCAGGAGCAGAGTCCCCTTGGACAATGGGGGAGGTAAGGGTTGGGAGGGTAGCAGAGCCCCCACAGCTCCCGGGTGGAGGCTGAGTTTTATTCTAACTAGAGAGAGATTAATTGAATTTTGAGAGTTAATTGAATTTCGAAATGATACCCCCGGTTGCTGTGTGACAGCTGGGGGACCAAGAGGAAGCTGGTGCCACCACCTGGGTAACTTGCGTGATGGACAAGGGGACGAGGGTTATGGGGTTGGAGAGGAGATTCTGTGGAAATGCCAGGAGTCTACACCACTGAGATGGGGCACAATGGCCCAGGCTGGGCCCTGGCGCCCTAAACCCACATCTCTCCGCAGGTCCAGCTCTTCTACCTTACCCAAGGAAGAGGACCCAGACAGTGACGGGGAGGTCAGTGGCCCCACTCTTGGCAGGGTCTGCGGGAGCCAGGTCCCCTTGCCACTGCACTGCTGGGGGCCCCTCGCCCCCCCACCCCCACCCCAACACACACACACACATCTACACACACACAGCTCTGGTTGCAGGGGCTGGAGCTGTACTTCAAGGAGCCCCACCAGCTCCTGGAAGTCTTTACAAACCTGGAGGAGCAGAACCTCTCGCTGATCCAGAACACACAGGAGATGGAGGAGGCCCTGGAGGAGCTGAGCTTCACCCTGAAAAATACCCAGATCCGCATGTAAGTCTTGAGTGGGGCCACCCTAGCCAGTGAGGAGGTGGACTCTATCATTGGTTGTCATCCTGGGACCTCCACAGCCACTGGCAGCTGGACCGTGGGCCCTGCCCCTCCCTGTCCTAGCCCTGACTTCTGTTTTCTGGAAAGCTCCATTTGACGTTGGTGCCTGGCTCTGGTGAGAAGATGTGTCCTGTTGGGTAGGGAAGTTGAGGGTCATGGGGACCCAGGAGTGGCCTGGGAGTTGATCATATTGGTGGACTGGTCCATGCCTGCCCTGGAGCGGTCTGCAGCCAGAGGGAGGCATCTTAAGGACCTCTCACCCCAGGTGCATTCTGCTGAAGCCAGGTCCAGGAGAGCTGGGCTGGGCAAGATCAGTTAGGGCACTAGGTGAGGTCTGTTGGGAACAAGGAATTCACTCCTAAACATAGACTGAGGACCTATTCTGGGTCGGGCCTGGATCTAGGTCCTCCAGGATAAAGGCCCTTCCTCATTGAGCTGACATTCCATGGGGCCCACAGATTTGACTTGTAGACACTGACACATGCTAGGAGGGAAAGTGTGAGAATGATATGAGAAGAGGCTACAGAAGAGGGTGGCACAGATTGACAAGGGCAGGGAGGCTCCCTGGGGAATATGTCCTTTGAGCCAGCTACTTCCCGAGTGATGGGAAGCCACATGTGATCTGGGAAGAGGGTGCCAGGCAGAGGGAAAGCAAGTGCAAAGGCCGAGGTAGGAGCCAGCCCAAGGCTTCAATGTCCCCCGGGGAAACCGTGTTCCTGAACATCCATGTCTCGTTGACCCATGTCCTGCCATGGAGAATCTCCTGCTGGGAGTCTCCAGACTTAGGTGAAACTACTAGCTCTCAGGCAATATTGTTTCCTAGAAAGCAGGAAGGTAGCAGAGACACACATAGACACGAACTGGGAGAGGCAGGCAGCCTCCCAGGTTCCATAACCCCTGGGCATGTAGATACTTTGCAGTCACAGTCCCTTAGCCCAGTGGTCGGCAAACTGCGGCTCACGAGCCACATGCGGCTCTTTGGCCCCTTGAGTGTGGCTCTTCCACAAAACACCACGTGCAGGCGCGCACGTACAGTGCGATTGAAACTTCGTGGCCCATGCGCAGAGGTCGGTATTTTGTGGAAGAGCCACACTCAAAAGGGGCCAAAGAGCCGCATGTGGCTTGCGAGCCACAGTTTGCCGACCCCTGCCTTAGCCCTCAGGACAGCAGCAGGAGGGGTCAGGTTCAGAGGTGAAGTGCCCAGGGCCACACTGGTGAGCAGGGCCCTACTGATCCCCCATCCAGGGATAGGGAGGTCAACCAGCTGAAGCAGTGGATCACCACACTGATGATGTCCATCACCAAGGAGGAGGAGACAGCTGCTGAGCTGGAGCTCAAAGCCCGAGTCTTCCATTTCGGCGAGTACAAGGGCGCACAGGAGGTAGGCCCCCCCGGGCGGCAGCCAGCAGGCGGTGGGTATGGAAGGAGTGCAGGTGGCCACAGGCTGGCAGCGGGGGAGGGGAAGGTCCTCTTCCAGGCACCTGCTGGGAGGAGGTCCAGTGCCTGGAGCTCTGACAGTGGGAAAGTAAGGCCCGAGATTCAGCCGTGCTCTGGGGCTGCAGGCCCCTCACCACCTCCAGGCTCTGTGGACCTGACCAAGGGGCACCAGCTGAAGAAGGCCCTTGGTCCCCAAATCCAAGGCACCCTGTGTGTTTCTGCTCCATGGCTATTCATCTGCCCAACACACCTCCTCCATTCCTTCCTTCCTTTGGACAAATACCTCTGGCTTCTTAAACATGTATAATATCCCCAGAGAGGCACATCCCCAGGCCAGAGTGTGAGAGAATTCTGAGGGCCAGAGATGTTCCAGGCAGTGGGACCAGGGCTTGGCACACACTCTTCTTGATAGCAGCCCCAGCTTCCTAATTCATCCAAATTCCTATTGAGCACCCACTGTGTGCCAGGCACTGGGCTAAGTACATGGGATGCCACAATGAGCAGGCCCGTGTGTCCCTGCCTCTTGCTGGTCATCACTGGACACCAGCTGTGCCCTGTGCTTGGCTTAAGCCTTTTTGCTTGCTGTTCCTCATTTAGTCCACAGGCTCACTCATGTGTCTGAGGGGTTAACTGTTTTCTGAATGTTAGACAGACTCCGAGAGGGGAGTTCATCAGGCCAGGGCCACAGAGAAAGTAGGTCACAGGATGTGGTCCTGTGGGCGCTGAGGTCAGTGCAGGGGCAGCACAGGGAGGGCTCCCAGGAGGAAGGAACTGGAACTTGGTGGACACACTGAGGCAGCTGGGGGAGGGGCCGAGGCACAGGCATGAACCCTAGTGGCGAGTGGAACCCAAGATCTGGCTGACCACAAAAGAGCAAATGGGGGAGAGGGTGTCACAGCTCTGGCCAAGGAAAGTCCAGGTGTCCAGTTCTGTTTTCCCCAGGCTTCCTAAGTGCTCCCCTGGGCAGAGCAGGGCCCTGGGAGGTTCGCCACGCTGCAGTGAGGGCAGATCATGAGAGGGAGTGGACACAGGTCCGAGCAACCCCACTGGTGGACTGCCCGCCTCACAGGACAAACTGCTGGAGAGCCTCAACCGCAAGGTGCAGGACGTGTACCGGCAATGTGTGGGTCCCCAGCAGGAGTCCAGCCTGGGCACCGTGCAGATGCTGACCGTCATCGAACACCAGCTGGACGAGCTGCTCGAGAACCTGGAGCGTGTGCCCCAGATCAAGATCGAGCAGGCTGAGAAGGCCAAGGAGAAGGAGCGGCGCCAGAGGTGAGGCCCAGGCTGTCCTCCACCCCCTGCTGTCTTGCCCTCCAAGAATTCCCAAACCAGGGGCAAGGACCCTGGTTCTCCAAGCTGGGAGAGCCACTGCCAGGGCTCTGGGGGAACCAGAGGGAACCCACACAGCCTCGGTAAGGAAAGCCCTGCTTGTGGAGAGAAGGATGTTGTGGAGTCAGGGAGCCAAAGTGAGGTGCGGCTAGCACAGCCTGGCCTCAAAAAACAGGGGCCATTTTCCTGGCTGGATAGGAGGGAAACAGGCTGGCGTTACAGAGCCCAGAGAGGGAGGGGCAGAGACTCCGGCACAGGGGACGTGGGACCATCCTCCGAGAGGAGGCCCGGAACTCCGGAAAGGCCGGTGGGGTGTGAGGTAGTTCCAGGGACCATGACTCCTCTGGCCTGTGGGCTGCCTGGTTTACTCACTCCTGTGCCGAGCCCTGTAACACAGCCATCAGCAAAAGGCCATCTGCCTCTCCCATGAGCTCTTTGTGTCCTTGGTACCTTGCTCAGGGCAGACCCGGGGCAGTGGTTTGAGGACCCCAAGTACAAACAGGAAGGAGACAACACTACTAATCTTCTGAGGTCTGGGCTTTCAAGGGTGACGATAGGGAAGCATGGGCACATGGACCAGTGACTGGGGATAAGGGTCTAAGAACATGGGCTTCCTGGGGCTATGAGATGACCTTTACATTATCTCCCAGGAGCCCAGAGCTGGCTGCTCCCCAAGGAGCAGGGCAGAACCAAGGCCCTGGCCTGGAAGGAAAGGGAGGAGAGGAGTGGGAGTTTTCTCAGAAGAGGGCGGGCCATGGCCTAAGAACTGTGTGGGAAGGAGCTGGGAAGGGGATTTGGCAGCCTCCCCTGGCCTCTCCAGTCTGTAGTGCATCTCTTGTTGCCCCTGCCACCTAGACTCCGGGAAGAGAAAGCCAGGATACAGAAGCAGCTGCAAGAGGAGCGTCTCCAACGGGCCCAAGCCCGGGCCCAGGCTGAGATCAAGAAGAAGGTGGGCAGGGTGGGCCTCGGGAGCTACTGCTGGGGAAGGGTCCACGTCCAAGCACAGTGTGGCTGGGAAAGCAAAGGGTCTGCAGCTGAGTCTGGTTCACCGAATCCTTTGCAGATGTTACTGCAGGGGTCCTGGGCCCCTAAGAGCAAGGCTAGGATAGAACAGGTCTCCCATTCCTGGGCCTACTGCTCCTCGGGGCTACCCTCGCCTTCCTCCAGAAGCCCTCCCCTGGGGCTGCCCGCTCCCCTGCACACATTCCTGGTCAGTGACTGACCTGGTCACGCCCTCCTAGCCCTGCTGAGAGCTAGCACAAAGAGCTCAGCTGCCCAGAGTCCCACCACACAACCTGCCTCAGAACAAGCTCATCACCTGTCACCAGAGTCCCCTTGATTGCTGTGCCCCAATCCTCCATCCCACAGGGAATGGGCAGGAGCAGCATGGTCTCTAATGCAGGCCCAAGGCTGATCACGGCCATGACAGACAGAAGGGGCCGATGGGCTTTCCCTGCAGTAGACCAGCACTCTCCCCTCTGTGCCGTGGGGAATGATGGACACTGCAGGGTCTCCCTGAAATCCCACAGCAAGAGACGGGTTCCCTGTTTAGCGGTATTTCCCGCACACGGCCCCCACACCTCTAGGGGCTGCTCCAGGGCACAGGCTTTAGTGCTGGACAGACACACTTCTGAGTTGGCTCAGCAACTCCAGCCCTCAGCCTGTGGCTGACCAGGAGCGACCAGAGACTGGGACGGTCCACAGGGCTCCCCAGCCTCCTGACAGGGGTGTGACCCCTCAATGTCTAGGTAGCACCTCTGGTGCACTGAGGCCACAGGCAGAGGGTTACTGAGTCCGCTTCCTCTACAGAGAGGCAGAAAGCTGGTGTCCCGCTCCGAGCCCCCGGCCCTGAAAACCAAGGAGGAGCCTGAGCAGGAGCTGCTGGACAAGGAGAAGGAGGAGCACCTGTTCTTCTTCACCTAGCCTTCCCGGCGCTGCCATGGCTGACGGCACAGGGAGGACGGCAGCGGGAAGCGAACAGGGCTGTCAGGGCAGATGCAGCCCTCGCTGTGCGCCTCATGGTCTCCTGCTGTATGTTTCTTTACTCGTGAAATAAACCCCATGACTCTTTGGTGTCTAAGGGCTGTTTAAGGAGGTAGAACCTATCTCCAAATGCCAGCACTCCTCTTAATCATTAACCCTAAGAAATGCTTGAGGGAAGGAGGCCATCTCGGCTCCCATCTAAAACAACTGCTTTAAGAGACAAGCCAAGTCCACGCTGGGGTGCAGTGTGGGGCCAGCCCCAACACAAAGACAAGGAAGGAAAGCAGCAAGCTGGGCAGATGGGAGGGTTATTATTCCTGACTGAAGGAGAAAGTGATGTCAACACTATATACACAATTCCTTAAAGTAAGTCAAGCGAAGCCTTCAGTATGTAACTATACAAAAACTTTTATTCATTTGCACTAGGGTTGGGTCCACTGCCAACAGGGGACCTCAGTGCCCAGAAAACTGACAGTCAGTACCAATCACTTTGTAGTGGACATTCACTGGGGGACGTGCTGGAGAAAGGTCCAGCAATACGTCCTCCTTCAGGAGGTCAGTGAGGTATGGCCACCCTGGCCGACAGGCCTGGCTCCTTGGAGAGGGAGGGGATTTCTGGAGGACCTGGAGGCTGAGGTGCCACATGAGCACAGAAATTGTTTGTGAAGCAGCACAGAGTTCTGTATGAACCATTTATAAATGGGGCCTAAATTCCTTCAGCTAGAGAAGCACTGAGCAGGAGGGGATGGCACCTCAGAATAGGACAGAGAGGAATTCCAATTGAGTGCTAGGTCACCCAAGAGCCCAAGTCCAAACACTCAAGAAACAAAGAAACACAGGATGGGCAGAGTTTGGATGATTCCAACTCTGAGAACCAAAGTAGCATCTTAATAAACACACACTTCAAAAGGCATAAGGCAAACACAGCATTTCTGAGTGATCGTGTCCAGTCCACTAACCAATTAACAAATAAATATGTGCAAGGTTATCAACTCGTCTCCTTTTGCAAGACAGAATTAACACTGCAAAATACGTGGTGACATGATATGCACATCTTCAACCTCAACAAAAACATATACATGCCATCATTACAATCCTGCACATAATTTATAGTATTCTGAACATGACTTTATAAACCATCGTCAAATTATTATTAAACATTAGTACCCAAATACAGAATTAAAAAAAAATTATTTTGAATGTTTTAATTCTACCGTCTCCAAACTGTGAGCTCAAAATTTGGTCTACACAGAGGGCTCACAAACAGGGCCCCCGATGTGTCCACTTCACCTCAATAATTTCCTCTCACACCAGCAGCCTGCCTGGTCTGCCAGAACATGGATGAGAATTCGGCTTCCTGTGACAACAAGCCCACTTCTGCCCCACAGTGTGACAAAAGTCAACCCCGCTACAAGCACCATTCAAAGGGGTGGGAAACAGCCTGTCACATAGCTCTCAGAAAGGGAAAGCAGGGCATTTAGATCTCTCTCAGGGCAAATGCTGAGACCCCAAAGCTGAAAGACTCCTTCTGGGTTTACTACAGATGAAGTTGTATTTGACTAGGGGACCTGTTCTCTATTTCCTGCACAAGTCTGTTTTTGTAAATGCAACTGGTGCTCCATGGCTCAGATGAATGGGACAAGGGATGTGCGCACACAGGCACAAGTACAGAAGAGGGGTGTGCTTTGCTAGGAAGGCAATCTTTGCCTCACTGAAGCACTTTGCTTAGACAAGGCAGTTTTAAACAGAACGGCCCCTAACTGGTTCCTGATAGAATGTAAGAAAAAACATGTTCAATGAGTGTACCCAAAAGTCTCTGAAGAGCTAGGCTGGCCTTCTGAGCAGAAACCAAGTGGGCTCTCAGCCAGGCCTGCAAGACCACGTAACAGAGTCTCTCGGGGACACAGATGGGAGGCGTCGCCCTTGGGTCCCCCAGTAGAGGGCAGCTTTCACTGCAGGTCCTGTAGGTTGACAGTGCTGCCTGTGCTGTGCGTGTCCTCAGGCCCAGAAGCCCCTCCGGCAGCAGGATGCACCTCCTGCAAAACCAAGTAGAGTAATGAGGAGGTCAGAAAGGGGCAGGTGGGGGGGCGGGCTGAGGCAATACAGGACCACTCACAGCCTCACAGCCGCTCACCAACTAGCAGCATAACCTGCAGGGCCAGCCAGCCAGGTGCTTCTGACTTTTCTGTTAAAAACTACTGCACCTCTTCCTTTTAGATAAATGTTTCTACCTCATTAGATTCAAGGCCACGATAACCAGCGTTTGGCTATTTGTACCCTACCCGATTTCTTTAGGCGTGATCTTGTGAATGGGAACACCAGGCAGCATGTAGTAGACACTAAAGGGGCCTTCTGGATGTCCCCACTGCAGCAGTCTGGGAGCTCCCATCTCATATCAGTGCTTTAGTCAAAATTCATTTTTGACATTAAGGAAAATATTTAATCCTTTGTACACCATAAGCGTCTCTAGACACTTTAAAAACTCATTTTTCGTGAAAATTTTCAACTGAAAATATTCAAGAACACTGGAACTGTGAGTAATAATTTATTTTTATAATATTCATTGCAAATTTATATTTTTAATTAAATTCAAAATATCGTGGCGTGTGGGATGGTTTCCATTTTGGACATGTGGCAGTTATTGATAGCCCAATTTCTATTTGTATGGATTTTTAAGTATATATTTAAGCCTGTTAGAAATTTAATAAGCTAAATACTTTCATTATTTTATATCCAAATCTGAATTATCCACAGCCACCTATGCCCAGCTTATCCACTTAAGAAAACTAATTTGTCTGGGTCTATTTTTCCACAGGTTAAAACTAACTTCCCATTGAAGGAAGTGACTAGAATTTCTCTATATAAAATATTTTAAAGAGTATGTTCACCTTATTTACAAGTAGGAGCTACAATGACAACAAATTTGAGCTTTAGTCTTATCCTTTTATTTTCTGGCCATTTACCCACCTTTTCTAGAAAGCGGCAAACATCCAGGCAACCAACCCAATGGATCTCCACCCGAGGCCTACCTCAGTGCCCAGCCTCTGAAGCTGGAAGCTTGGTGGTAATCTTACTAACAAACCCAAAGACGTGTAAAGCATCAGACCTGGAGGACATAGACGGGCACACCAATGGCGAGCAGGGGGTGGAAGGTGGGAGACTGCGGGCTCAGCACCACCGGCAAGACTCCTTCACCTGAGGGGCCATCCTGGGGAGGGAGGCAACAGCACATGTTTTATTAACCAGGCACGACAGCATTCCTACCTCAGCCTGAGTAGGTCTATCAATGCCACATGCAGGACTGGTCCTACCCCGTGTATCAGGCAAGGCACCCCCTTGACCCAGGTGAGGCCCGAGAACCCAGCAGCAATTGGCATCAGGGGCTGAGAGCTGCTGCCCCTCCTTCTGAGCCTCATCTCACCCTGATCCCAGCCTAAGGCCCAGGGAGCTAAGCTGGGGCTGAACCACCTGCCGTCTGGCTGCTCCTCCCTCCCAAGCCCTTCTTCTGGAACTTTCCTGTACTCGCCCACACTCAATTACCTCCCCGCAGTCCAAGTGCCAATTTCTCTCCTGTGGGTTGTTCTTGAACTCTGACGGAGGCTCCGGGCACCCCTCCCTCAGTGTCTCACTGCTCTCCAGCAGCCTTCTCAGACCACACAGGTAGGCTCATCTCTGCCTTGAATCCAGCCCTCAGTCAAGCTGGGACTATAGATGAAAGGTCTTCCCAAGAGGGGCTATCTGGCCCCTAACTGTCCAATTCAGAAAAGGGAACTGTTTAACATTTCACCTTTCATCTGCACGTCAGCCTGTGCCCATCCACAGCTCCCATCACTCAATCCTGGTGCCACCACCACTCCCATCAGTATCTCTCACTCCTTCCAGTCTCAAGAACCTTCTGTATCAAGCACTGAGCACTCACTATCATTCCCATCTTATTATGTGATAAGACGGAAGCCCCAAGTGCTTAAGTAACTTACCCAAGACTACCCTAGCTGGTAAGGGAAAGATAAAAGATTAAAACCCAGGTTTCTCTACCTCAAAACTGACATCTTTAATTGGTGTTCCTTAGAAAAATAACCACAACTCCTTTTCCAACTAGCTCCAGTGGAACCAGCTTCCTTACAGTCGCCATGTCAAAACCTCGAGTCCTGCAATCTTCACTTGGGACCTGCTTGCTGGCTTTGACCATGTTCAGAAGGCTCAGACTGGGCCCCCTCCACTACCTTTATCTTGGAAAAATCTTTCATTTCTCTGCAGGCAAATCCCGTCCCCACAAAACGCTCACATCTGCTTCTGGTTTGCTACAACCGCATGGCCATCCACTGGGCCCATCTTCCAGGCGCCCTCAGGCTCTGCCCAACCCATTGCTACCTCTCTTTCACTTATCTGAACCCTACAGACGCTCCATAGCCAGCACGGTCCTACCTCCTTCATGAGCCTCTCCCAGGACTAGACTCCACAGACAGGACTCCCTGCTCCCCCTTCCAGATCAGCTCAGGACTCAGATGTTCTATGACATCTCTAACTGGGACTCCCCGGCCACACAGTGCTCTTTGGCCCCAGAGTACCCAGGACACAGAAGACTGCTCAGTGAAGAGGCAGGATGTGATCGGGTCAGGTCAGAGGGGTATATCCTCAGCTTTTAAATCTTTTCTGTCCTAAAACCCAAATTACCTTACGTCTCTATTCTGCCCCTTCAAAAATGAGACTGGAAATAAAGTTGTACACAGAGGTGTGGAGGTGAATGTGTCTAGTGAGCGTTCGTGGAGTGGCTGCCAGCTACAGAGTCTGCTGGGCCCGGGGCATAGTCTAAGAGGTGGCTGGCCCTGCCCTTCAGGGGCTCAGTTTGGTAAAGAATGAAAATGGGAAAAGAACAAAAATTAAAAGCTAGCACCTTTAATATATAAAGGCTACATCCTCTGGTGTGCTACCAGCAGTCTCCAGAGATGAGGATGACCAATGCAGCCTGAGGAAGCCCCTGCACCCCAGCCCTGAAAAGAGAAGTAGGGTCTGGGGAGGGGCAGGCAGCGTGAGCCAGGTGCCACAGCAGCCACAGGCTGCAGTGCCTGTCTGTGGCCACCCTCAGGCAGTCCAAGCAGCTCAAGACAGCTACAGGGGGCCTTGGAATGAAGCAGGCATGTGTCTACACCTCACAGGACTCCCAGTACGTTACAGAAGACAGAGCACATGGGAAGGGGGGACCAGACACATACAGAGAGTTCTGACACAGATGTGTCTATCTTAATGAAGATAAAAGCTTGAACAAATGTAGCTCAGTGGGTGGGATGAAGGGAGAAGTTGGGGTTATGGACAGATGATTTAGGATATCAAACAGGACTTGGAACGGTGGTAGAATGGCTGTTCACTGAGAGAAAGGAGCACCCAGAGACAGAGCCCTGAGGCCTTGCCCACACCTCTGAGCCTGCCTCCTCCCAGCTCGATGGCTCTTACCTGCAGTAACTGGACCTGAACACACTGCACCCCAGCTGCTGGAGCTGGTCCTGGCAGACCTCCGCCGGGCACCACAAGGTTCCCACACAACCAACCACTCTGGTTTGCATACAAGTGAGTAGGAGTGACTTTGCCACCTTTCATTTTTCTCTGAGTAGACCCTGAGGCTCCTAAAATGAAACAAACCAACAATGCACTGTACATTGTGCTGTTCAGGCCCTTGCCTTCACAGAGGCCACACTCTGGGGGAGTCAGCCTTCCCATGACCTGTCACTGCACAGCCTTACAGAATTAAAATTACTGAACAGGGATGGTCATGAGGTAAGAGGTGAAGAAAACAGGAGAAAGATTAACAAACTCATATGTGTCGCTTGGACAGATATCAGACTCCAGCTGCCTGTTTCTTGAAGGTGGAGACTCTTCCTTACCCTCCGACTCCAACAGCTCCAGGCATGCAGGAGATCTGAGACCACTGAGCAAACCAACCATTGGCGCAGCAGAATCACGGACAAAGAAGAGGAAAGAAAACAGGTAATCGCACCCACCCCTTGGACACTTCGGCACATGCTAAATGGCTGCCATATCCTTCAGGCTATTTTTGTCCAGCTTCCTTTACAAAAATCATCACTTCATAAAAATACGGTTTTTAAAAAATTAAGTACAAAGAAGAAAGAAAAATCCTGACACTCTGGAAGGGTTTTTCTGACACTCGCAAGGTGTGTGAGCAGCAGGAAATCCGAGGCAGAAACCAATGGCCTAGATTCAAAGCCTGGCTCCACAACTGACTCTGCTACCTATGTTTTCTTCTAGGGCAGTGGTCGGCAAACCGCGGCTCTTGAGCCACATGCGGCTCTTTGGCCCCTTGAGTGCCACGTGTGGGCACGCACGTATAGTGCGACTGAAACTTCGTGGCCCATGCGCAGAAGTCGGTTTTCGGCCTGGGCGAGTCTATTTTGAAGAAGTGGCGTTAGAAGAAGTGGGGGGTGTCGGTCAGTCGGGCAACGGGAGACGCGCGGCGGGCCGCGGGATACACAGCGCGGGGGAGGCACGCGTGATTCATGTACGAGTTGAGTGAGCCTGTCAGTCAGCAGTCTCATTGTGCAGTGGTTAGTGCTAGTCGCGTCCGCAAATCGTGCGCGGGTGATAAAAGTACCTACTCGGAGCTTAAAGTTACCTGTATTTTTCCAACCAGCTGCAAATCCTACAGGTATTTTTGTCATCAATTTAAGAATTGTAATTCTTTTGTGTTGGTGGCTTTATTATTATAAAATGAAACATTTTTTAGGTGCCCTGTTTGAGATGGCTACAAAGAAGCAGCAATGAAAAACGGAAGACAAAAACCGTGAAATTAAAGTTGAATTTAAACTTGAATGTACCTACCTATATAGTTTAAGTTTAAAAAATTTGGCTCTCAAAAGAAATTTCAATCGTTGTACTGTTGATATTTGGCTCTGTTGACTAATGAGTTTGCCAACCACTGTTCTAGGGCAAAGAACCTGAATAGACACTTCTCCTAAAAGGACATACAGATGGCCAATAGACATGAAAAGATGCTCAACATCACAATCATTAGAGAAATTGAAATTAAAATCACAATGAGATATCACCTCACACTTGTTGGGAGGGCTATCATCAATAAATCCACAGTTGGCAAGAATGTGTGGAGAAAAGGGAACCCTTGTGCACTGTTGGTGGGAATGCAATAGACTGGTGCAGCCACTGTGGAAAGCAATATTGGGTTACCTAAAAAAATTAAAAATGAAACTGCCACTTCACCCAGCAATTCCACAGCTGAGAATTATCTGAAGAAACCAGAAACACTAATTCGAAAGGATATATGCACCCCTATGTTCATTGCAGGATTATTTACAAAAGCCAATATCTGGAAACAGCCCAAGTGTCCATCAGGAGATGAGTGAATAAAACAGTTGTGATACACTTTACACAATGGAATACTACTGGGCCATCAAAAAGAAGGAAATGGTAGGTAGGTAGGTAGGTAGATAATACATACATACATACATACATACATACATACATACATAAGGAAATCTTGCCCTAGCCCGTTTGGCTCAGTAGATAAGAGCATCAGCCTGCGGACTAAAGAGTCCTAGTTTAATTCTGGTCAAGGGCACATGCCCGGGTTGCAGGCTCGATCCCCAGTGGGGGGTGTGCAAGAGGCAGCTGATCAATGATTCTTTCTCATCATTGATGATTCTGTCTCTCTCTCCCTTTCCCATCCTCTCTGAAATCAATAAAAATATACACACAAAAAAAGAAGGAAATCTTATCCTTTGCGACAACATGGATGGACCCGGAAAAAACACTATGCAAAGTGAAATAAGCCAGTCAAAGATAAATTCCGTATGATTTCACTCATACGTGGAATCTAATTAACAAAATGAAGCAAAACAGAGACAGACTCATAGAGAGCAAACTGACAGCTATCAGGGGTTGGGGGGGAAGGTGGAGGGATTGAGAGGAAAAAAAGAATCCATGGCACATGGACAATAGTGTGGTGAATGTGGATGGGGGTGAGGGGTGGGAATTGGGAGTAGAAAGACGTGGAGGAGGGTATAGGAGGGGTAAATGGTGATGGACAGAGACGACTTGGGGTGGTGAACACACAATACAGTGTACAGATTATGTGTTGTAGAATTGTGCACCTGAAACCTGAATATTTTGTTAACCACTGTCACCCAATAAATTTAATAAAAAGGGGGGTGGAAGATATACTATAAAAATATATTTATTCACAATGAAAAATTTTCATATTAATAGTAAAAAGCAGATAAAAACATGCAAGTGCCATTTCTTCAAAATTAGGCTGTTTATACACATAGGAAAATGTTTAACATCAAAACATTAGAAGTAATTTTCTCTGGGTGGTGGAGCTGCAGGGGAAAGTGCATAAAAAATGCATCTTTATTTTTTCCAAAGAGTAAACCATTTACTGAACACTAGTCCTTTGCTTAATGACTTCTGTGCCACACTCCAGCTGTCCCCATTTGTCCTGCTGACCAGCCCTCCTCCAGGGCACGGGCCAGGCTTTCATCACCCATATTCCTCAGCATGCCTAGGTCACAGCACAGCTCACTGTCTCCCCACCTCACTGTTTCTCCTTTTCGAAGCCTGCATGGAGATTCTCACTAAATTATTCCTCCAGATGAATTTAAAACTGACAAGTTTGGGTTTTTTTAGGTTCCTTTGGGATTTAAAGGAACTGAACAAAGATGTAAATTAGTAAGAACTGAGTGTTTCTATCCAAAGTACATGGTAGGCCTTAAGCAGGACCTCATTCAGGCCCAGTATACTGTATATTCATCGCTGGTGATCCCAAGATACTTTATTACTTTTGTTATCATTATGAGATCTATTTTATCCATCTCTACCCACTGGCTCAGTCACCACTCTGATCTCAGCTACTCTCATTTCCCTGCTGGAGGAAAATGAAGAAACCTCTACCTGCTCTTTTTGCCCCTAACTCCCCCCGCCAGAAAAACAGCTGGAACCATCCCTTAAAAAATATCACATCACCTTTTAATTATGCCTCTGTTTTCCCATCTGACTCTGAGTGAAAGCCAAATGACAATGACCTCGAGGCCCTAAACAGCCTGGCCTCCTACTGGCTTTCTACTTCCCAAAACTTTCCCCTAACTGGCTCTGCCAACAACCCCCTTTCCACCGACCCTCTCAGGTGCTCATCAGGAGTCCTTCGCCCAGATCTGTCCATGTGTTCCCTTCCTCACCTCCTGCATGTGTCACCTTCCCTGTGAGGCCTCTGTCTACCTTTTTAAAACTGGAAACCATTACAGACCCCTTTCCTTGTTTTGTTCACATTTATCACATGATTTACTGTTTTATCAAATGCTCCACCCCCACGCCACCTCCAATCAGAATGCAAGCAGTGGTATCTGTGTTGTTTCAGACACGCAGCAGGAATATTTATCAGAAGGAAGGCGTCCCCATCTCATTTTCTCAGTCAAGTTTTATGTCTCCTCCATTCAGGTTCTACACAGTTGTGAAATTTCCTCCTGGATATTTTGTACTTTTTGTTGCTATTGTGAGGTATTTTCTCCATTGCATTTCCTAATTAGCTACTGCTGCCATACAGGACACTCCAGGTGGTTATACATTTGTTTTATAACTGGCCACTTAAATATCTTATAATTTCTAATCATTTTTTCAGTTGATTTTGGGGGGTTTTCCAATAAACAATCAAATCATATTTAAGTTACTATATGTCTCCTTCCTATGGTTCTTATTCTTTCTTGCTTTATTTCAATACAAGAATCTCCAGAACAAAATTAAATACCAAAGGTAATAATGGTAACAAAAGTAATTCTTACGTGCATCTAAAATGCCTGTTAGCTCGCCATTAAGTATAATTTTGACTCTTGGTTGGGCTACAGAATCTTTATTATATTCTATTTCCATCAGTAATGGATATCAATTTTTTAAAATAAATACAGAATCTGTTGAGAAAAATAATAAAGTTCTTGACCAACCTATGATAACAAACCCAGTAGCAACATTAAATCATCCTTAAGCTATGGACTAAACCTCACTGTTCAGAATATGAGGTTAAATATATTGCCAGATCCTGTGTTTTGAGAACATTTCCATCATTTCCATCATCAATCTACAGCTCCCATTTTGGGGAGTATCTTTGTCAGGCTTTGGTATCCAGATCATGGGCGTTCCCTATTTTCCACAAAAGTCCTAGAACAGTGACTACTATACATGTTCCATGGACAAGTAGAAGCTGTATAACCAATGGCAAGCATGAGATTCTGAAATACTAACTTCATCCACAGTTATTGGTCATTTTTGAATGATGATGATGTTTTCCTGAAAAATATGCATTTTGTTGCAAGCTCTCCAATTTATTATCATAGAGTTTACATGATATTCAGTTATTTTCCATTGAATCTGTGAAATTTAATTATGCCTTTTTTTCTTGGTAAAACTGCTCAAAGTAGAAACTGACAAGTTAGAAGCTGTATCCACATACGATTTTTTGTTTGACCCACACAGAATGATTTTTTAAAGTATGAATAGGTTATCATATTTTAGCATCAAAATCCAGATTTCTGATTCTTCTTAGATTTGTTCTTTTTCCCTCCATCCTGAAATAACAGCTTATTCCACTTAGCTTCCTTTCTCTTAT